TAACCTTTTGGAAAGAGGCAAAGCTTATGTGACCCTGACGAGTGGGAGTTCAATGCAGTTCACTCTTTACCCTTTATCCAACCGTTCAATGAATCGTAGATTGCATTTCGTGCCGCTTTCAACAGCAATTATCTCCAAGGTCACAAGGCAACTCCTATTTATTTATAACGTTCTCAAGTCTTTGAAAACGCAGTGCTTTTGATTTTGCGGAGGTCGTGCAATTATGCAAGTCGGGTCCGTGAACCACGAGGGTCAATGACTTTTAAATGGGACCTGAGAGAACAATGACATTTACTACTTGAAATTCTGCTCTGAACTAAAACACTGTTTTGCCAAACATGAAGAGCAAGTAAAGCTAAAATGTTAGGGATAAACTAGGATAGGCCTTTATCTGATGAAATCAAGAATGAATCCTGACATAAAAATGTCTCAGTCGGTTGACTTCATAATTACTATAACTGACTCTATCTATAATATCTATATATATTTAACAGCTGTGTAAAAAGTCCTGAACTGACTAATGATAAATGAACCGATGTAAGCAATGTCGCCCTCTGCTGATGGTTGTGTAAAACAACTGATGTAAATCCAGGATTCACACGGAAACCTAGAAATGTGCAATTAAATTACAATAATAATTTACAAATTAAATAGGCAATTAAAATGAACACTTACAAATTTTTAAATCTTAATAAAAAAATTTATTCAAATGTTAACAAAATATTTAATTGGCTAAAATTGATCGGAAAAGGAATTTCATTGGTCAAAAAGATTATATTCAAAATATATTGAATTTGCAATATATTTTCATTTGAAATGTATATTTAATTCGTCATTTATAGAGATGCTGAAAAGAATAAACACTAAAACAATTCAGACTTTCATCTCACAATTTTGAGAAAAAAAAGTCAGAATTGCAAGAATCATACTCAGGATTTAGATGAGTTATAAAAAAAGTTTATAAATCTTATCAATTAAAATAATAACAAAAAGGTAATTTCAGCTTTTTGTCTGACAATTCTGACTTTCTAACAATTACGAGTTTATATCTTGCAATTATGAATTTTTTTCTCTGAATTGTGAGTTCATATCATAATTAATTTAGCAAACCTTTATTTAGTTATCAAAATTGACTGGACATGGTATTTCAGTGGTCTAATGGTCAACTTGATGAATTATATTGAAAACTACTGCATTTTTAATGTGCAAGACTGATAATTTACTGAAAACCCTTAAGTGATTCAAAGTATTTTTGTGATTCTAAATCAGTTGTACTGTATAAAACATACAAATTATATCGATGTTGTATTTATTTTCTATAAACATACTTGTAAAGTTTAAAGAATTAAATAAGTTAATGCTCTGACATGACAAAACTGCAGAAGTCTGTATTTATTTCCTCCCTCAAACTTTCCTGAGATCAGACATCCTTGACTTTTTGAAAACAATTACAAGCAGACAATTGTGAAAATCCATCTGAAAACATTCAACATCGAAAGCACTGCTTTCATTACCATTCGGAAGCATAAATAAAGGAAGTTGTGCCAGGTCATTTACAACTGATTTTCATCCCCCAGCTCTCTCATTGGATGAAAGCGCCTGTCTGGCGTCCAATTAGGGATCAGATCTAGGGTGTGGTGGGTTTGGCCACACTGGCTCTCACTCTGGCCTGGTCCACAGCGTCCAGCAGGTTTTTAGAGTCCATGGCCAGCGTGTGAGCGACCGCCAGCATCTGTTTCTTACACTCGTCCTTCAGAGACGTGACGGCGTTCTGCTGAGCCAGACGCATCTTACTGATCAGCTCGGCCAGATCCTTATTCAGCAACTTCTGAGTTCCTTCAATCTGAGGAGCAGAGAGCAGCCAGAACAACACTTTATACTTTCTGATGTATAGAAATGTCATGGAAGCTTATTTCTGCCATGGATTATAAATACATAAATAGATAAATAAGTAATTGGAACTTTTTATCTCACAATTCTTACTCACAGAATTATGAGATGTTAACTAATGATCTAACAATTCTGAAATTTTTTCCTCGCAATTCTGAGTTTGTCTTGTAATTATGAGTTTAAATATTTAGACTAAAAAAAATCAGATTTGTATAATATATCCTCAGAACTGCAAGATATAAACAATTCTCAGAAAAAAGTCAGCATTACGAGATGCTAGCTCACAAATAAAAGAAGTTATTAAAAAATACATTTTATATCACACAATTCAGACTTTTCTTGGAATTGCGAGGTAATATCTTACAATATTACAATTTTGACATTTTTTCTCATAATTGTGAGTTTAAATCTCACAATTTAGACTTTTAGCTCGCAATTCTGACCAAAAAAAGGCAGAATTATGAGATGTTAACTCACAATTGTGAGAAAAAATGAAACTTGTTTCCACCATGGAATAAAAAATGTGAAATTGTAATTGTGACTTTTTATCTCACAATTATGAATTAATTTCTCAGAACTGCAGACATTTTTTCTCAGAACTGCAAATTTATATCTCACAATTAAGACTTTTTATCTCAGTTGTCAGAAAAAATTCAGAATTATGGGATGCTAACTCACAATTGCGAGAAGAAAGTCAAGCTTGTTTCTGCCACGCAATAAAAACAAAAGAAAACAGAAAACGTAAATTGCAAGAAAAATAGAACTGTTTTCTTACAACTGCAAGTTAAAGTAATGATTTTCCAATTATCATTTATCATTAACCTCACAAGTTTATATCTCACAATTTGTGAGAATAGAAAAGGTAAACTGAGACCTTTTTATCTAACATTTCTATTTCTATTAAAATTCTAGTTTATAGAAATTCTCAGAATTGAGAGGAAAAAAGTCAGAATTGTGAGATAAAAAGTTGTAATTACATTTTTAATTTTTGGGGAAATAAGCTTCCTTAATATATAGTTCAAAATAGTAAAATAATTTGGATTACTTTTCTTAGAATTATATCTTGCAATTCTGAGTTTATATATTTCCTTTTTTTTTTTTTTTTTTTGCAATTCTGAGAAAGAAATGTCAGAATTACGAGATGTTAACTCACAATTGTGAGAAAAAAGTCAAGCTTGTTTCTGCCATGGAATAGATGAAATAGTCAGAATTGTTCAGATTAAAACTCACAATTTAGCCTTTGCTATTTTTGGAAACAAGCTTAACTTTTTTCTTACAATTCGTGAGTATCTAACAATTCTGACTAATGATCTTCTAGTTCTGAGTTTATATCAGAAAATATAGTCAGAAAAAAGTCAGAATTGTGAGATAAGTTGAAATTACCTTTTAATTTTGGGAAACAAGCTTTGATCATTTATAGCTCAAAATAGTTGACTAATTCACAAAGGTGTTTTTGAAAAGCTTTACCTCTGTTCTGATGGACTTGTGTAGAGTCGGGAGGATGTCATCCACACTGCGGATCAGACAACGCAACGTCATTCCCACCGACTGCCAGAGGAGACAATAATGAGAAACACGACTCCAAACATTACGACTTACGAACTGCTTCAAAGTCGCCCTACCTTCACCACAGTGACGTACTCTGAGGCTGGTAACGTGTTGACATCGTTCTTCAGCTGCACCACGACCTTCACCATCTCCATCACGTTATGATAGACCATGTCATCCGTGCGGTCCAGTTCTGCTGTGGGCGCCGGCTATGATGGCCAGAACAAGTCCGTGTTAATACATGCAGCAAACCATTGCAATTCATGTTCATGCATGGATTTTATCAGATGAAATAATGATCTTTCTTGCATTGTGAATTCATTGTTAATTCAGTATTGAGATCATTTTATTAGGTTTTGTTAATATTTAGAATATTTAATATTTAGCTTTATTTATAATATTTAGCTTAGAATATAATATTTAGCTTTTATTTTTATACTTTGTTTTCATTTTAATTTTAGTTAACATAGTCATTTTGTGGTGTTTATAAAAATGTACAAAAAACAATTTCAAAGCTACAATACATATTAATAAAATACTAACACCGATCAATATATTTTTAGAAACTGAACATGGTCTGAAATCAGATTTCAGAGCTTTAGCAGTTTTTATTTTTATATTTTCAGTGTTCATTTCAAATCTAGTTAATGCTTTAGTCATTTTGTGTGTTATTGTTATTAAATATTTCTATTTAGCTTTCATTTTTATTAGTTTTAGTCATTTTAGTACTTCAATTTAAATTTCTTTCAGTTAGTTGCCAAGAGAACATTTCTCATTTTCTTTTTTTAAGTCATTCATTTTCTAATTTTATTTTATTTCAGCTGTTTCAATTAACACATTTTGAATATTTAAGTTTTAGTTTTAATTCATGATAACAACATGGTGCAAGATGAAAAATGTTGGCCCATAAGAAAGATTAAAGAAATAGTTCAGGAATAGGTGCAGCACCGCCAGTTCTGTTACTGTTAACATAATTTTGGCCCATTCTCCTTTTTATAGGCTATAAATGTAGAAATAATTTCAATTATTCGAAGATAATTCGAAGTATTATTAGCATTTTAATGGCCTTAATGATAACAGACATGGAATAAAAGCTGTTTTTAAATATCTTTTATAGGTTATTGTTATTATTATTTAAATTTCATGGGGTCTTATTTAATTCATTAAAAATTGTTTTTATTAATTTTATTTGCAGTTTTTTTTTTTTTTTT